CACTGACCTCAGCCGAGAGAGAGCTCCAGCAGATCCGCATCAACGAGGTGGGTTGGGTAGCAGAGGCCCCAGCCTCGAGCCCTCAGGGTCACATTGGCCCCATGGCAGCCTGTGCTGCCTGGGAGTCACACCCTGCTTTGGGCCGGTGAGGGCCTCCCTCACCATTCCCCTACCCACAGGTGAAGACAGAGATCAGTGTGGAAAGCAAGCACCAGACCCTGCAGGGCCTCGCCTTCCCCCTGCAGCCTGAGGCCCAACGGGCACTCCAGCAGCTCAAGCAGAAGATGGTCAACTACATCCAGCTGGTGGGTACCTGCTCCCTACCCTGGCACACGCTGCTGCAACCCCTACTCCTGCCCGTGCACATGTGCTGGTGTGCATGGAGTGCCCACCCCATCAGCCTGCAGCCTGTCCCCTTCAGCTCGTCCATGTGCTCATGGGAACACATGGTCCACCCCACCCCTCCCTGATCCCTACCTATTCCGCCTCGGGCGCAGCTACTGTGTGCACATACATGCGCTCAGGTCCCTTGTCCCCCAGGCCCTGCTCATACACAGGTACACCCGTGAGCACACTGCCCCATTCTGCCCTCCACACATACCCCTGGGGTCACACTGACCCCTCAGTCCTGAGCGCCTTCCTGTCCCAGATTCCCTTGTCTCCTTGACCACCCCGTTTCCCTAGGCAGCGTCCTTCTGCCCTGGCCATTCTGGCTGCCTCTTTCAAGCAAAATGGCTCCTCCCTTCCAAGGTGCTTCCACCAGAGGCCTTGCCTCTGAGGATGGGCTGGCCCAATGGCAGTATCTCCCTGAAGTTGAGACCCTCCACACCATCCTGTCCCAGGAGTCACTACCGTTTACTACCCTTGGGAGTTCCCTCTATAGCACAACCTTCAAAGGGGCAGAGTTGGAGCTGGGCCCAGGACCGGCCTCTTCAAAGGGACCCCCATAGAGTGATGGCCATTGCAGGGGAGTCTTGGGAGAGGGAGGTCACATCAGGCTCCTGCCACCAGCTAATCCTATTTGAGGGCTTCTTGGGGAGAGGGGCCTGGGCCCGCCCCGACCTGGTGCTCTCCCATCTTCCCTTGGCCCTGGGCAGAAGCTGGACCTAGAGCGGGAAACCATTGAGCTGGTGCACACAGAGCCCACGGATGTGGCCCATCTGCCCTCCCGGGTGCCCCGAGATGCTGCCCGCTACCACTTCTTCCTCTACAAGCACACCCATGAGGGCGACCCCCTTGAGTCTGTAGGTGAGTGGCCATGGCAGGGCCGCCAAGCCTGTGGCTGGGTGGAAGCAGGGCTGGTCTGCAGTGGGGCAGGCCCGCTCTGGGTGTGAAGGTCAGCAGGTTTCCCAGGCCTCCCAGGCTCACCTCCTGCCCCCTACAGTGTTCATCTACTCCATGCCGGGGTACAAGTGCAGCATCAAGGAGCGCATGCTCTACTCCAGCTGCAAGAGCCGCCTCCTCGACTCCGTGGAGCAGGACTTCCATCTGGAGATCGCCAAGAAAGTAGGCCCCTCCCCAGGGCCTCGCCTCCCCAGACCCTATCACCCCAATCTCCATGTGACGCGCTGGGGTCCTGAGATGACGGCAGAGCAGGAACCATTGCTGCCGTGTTGATCACAGGGCGTCTGAGGCCCAAGGGGTGACACGCATGGCCCAAGGCTGCCCAGCTGATTGGTGGCTCAGAAAAGTCCAAGTCCTGGCCACATGTCATGTCCTTTCCCTGGGCCTGGAGACAGGGAGGAAGTGACACTGGCAAGCAGAGTCCAAGGCATGCAGGGCAGCAGGCCCGAAGCTCTTGTTCTCCTGGGGGTGGCATTCCAGGTGGGGATTCAAGGGGAGACCCCAGGAGACCCCAGGGCTAGGATGTGAGATCAAGGGGTACCCCAGAAGTGGGGGCTACCAGGGGTGGTATGTGTCAGAGCCCCTCCCATTGGAGTGACCACTGCCTTGCCCCATGCAGATTGAGATTGGCGATGGGGCAGAGCTGACGGCGGAGTTCCTCTACGACGAGGTGCACCCCAAGCAACACGCCTTCAAGCAGGCCTTCGCCAAGCCCAAGGGCCCAGGGGGCAAGCGGGGCCATAAGCGCCTCATCCGCGGCCCGGGCGAAAATGGGGATGACAGCTAGGAGGCTGGAACAGGGCCGGCCACATGTGGACTGTGGGGCTGCCCGCCTTCCGCTCCCTGCCACCGTCCTCCTTCCTGGGCTCCAGGAAAGTGTTTCCAGGAGGGCAGGAGGGCTGGCGGCTGAACGCACTTGCAGTGTCCGAGGGCCACCGGGCTGGCATTTTGTGACCCTTCCCTGTTGCTGTCCCTGCATCTCATGTGTGTTCCCAGGGTGTCCGGGAACCCTGCCTGGCTGGCTTAAGGGGGCTGGGTCAGGGGCCTGGCATGAACCTGGCCTCCTGGGGAGCTGAGACTAGGGTCCCAGCACAGCCCAGAAACCTTTGGCCACAAGAGGTGGGGTCAGTCAGGGCTGGGGCAGGGGTCACTGCAGTTTGGGATGGTTGAATGCTGTATTTTCTAAAGAATAAAATATTTTTAAATCAAGACTTGTGCTTCGCCCTGAGAGACCGCCTCTGGCCCTGGGAATTGGGCAGTCTTGTGCATGTAACTGTCCTTTCCCAGTAGGGGAGAGGGGACTGCCAGCCTGTGAGGTGGAGCCCCAGCACTCCACCGCCAGTTGTGTGGGAGAGGCTGTGCCTGTGAGGGGGTGCGCAGCCTCACTCAGGTCTCCCAGTTAACAGGAGCCCTGCTTGAGAGGCAGGCGTGCCTCCACTGTGACATGAGGGATCTGTGTATGGTCGTTTGCTGTGGCTGCTGTAACAAATTACCACCAACTTAGTGGCTTACAAGAAACCCAAGTGTATTCTCTTACAGTTCTGGAGGCTGGAAGACTGAGATGGGTCTCACAGGGCCAAAGCTCAGGTGTTGGCAGGGCTGACTCTGTCTGGGCCCCTCAGGAGAACCTATCTCCTGGCCTTTTCTGTCTGTATTCCTTGACTTGGGGCCCCTTCCTCCACTTTCAAAGCCAGAGGTGACATCTCTGATTCTGCTTCCCTCGGCCTCTGGGCTCCCGTGGCCTTTTGTAGTCAAATCTCCCTCTGTCTCCGTTTCATAAGGGATATTGTAATTGCATTTACCCTGCCCGCCCCCACCACCTACCCTCTTCAAGATGGGTAACTTAATCACATCTGTGAAGTCCTTTTGCCATACTGTATGTGGGGCTTTGGGGTCATGTGTTTGCAGGTTTGGGGAATTAGGACAAGGATCTCTGACAGGGATTTTATGCAGCCTTCCACATGGGATAAGGGCTCCTCCCCGAAGGCTTCCCAGCCTCCCTGGGCTGAGGCCAGGACAGGTTTTTCTGTGGACGTCGGTATTGGTGTCTCCAAGCCGAGTGTGTCCATGTGCGTGGGTCTGTACGTGTGTGTACAGACCCCTCTGTCAGCTTACTGGCCTCTCTGGTTTTCTGCCTCCAAGGGAGGCAGGGCTACTGCTGAGTATGGGGGTCTGGGTCCCTGGTCCAAGGGACTCTGGGAAAGTCTCATGCTTGGGGCTCCACAGGAGCCCGAGCTTTGGTGTATGCCTCTGAGAGGTGGATGGAGGGAGTGAATGCAGGTGCCTTCCGCCCCGGGCAGGCAGGAGTGGAAGCATGGGGTTGATGCCTGCAGCCCAGCTGCTGAGTGGGCACTGCTCTCCCTCCTGGCTCAGGGCAACATTCCATCCCTGGTGCCTTTCGGAGCCCCTGCTCAAGCCCTTAGAATTGTAGAGAGGAGAGCCAGACCCTAGCTAGGATCCAGAGGAGGCTTGTCCTTGCCCAGCCTAAACGCTGGCTCCCAGGTGGGCAGGAAGACGATGCCATCACCCCCTGCTGCTGAGCTAGCTGGATGCCTGGCACTTTGGAGCCTGCCTGTCATGATGCCCACCCAGAGTGGGCCTGCGGGGAGCAGGCTGGCAGATGTACAGCCTTGCCTCCTCCCAGCAGCAACCCCATTTGTTCATTCATTCTTTCATTCGTTCATTCAGCCTTCACTCAGAAACGCCCTATCCGTGCCTGCCCAGAGCTGACTGCTGGGTACACATAATTCAGCAGATATCAAGCACTTGCTATGTGCTGGGCACTGCACTGCATCCTGGGGATGCAGATAAAAGATTACGACCCTCATGAAGCTGACATTCCAGCAGAGGAATAAGACAATATACAATAAACCATGAAAGATCAATGATCCGGTGTGCTAGCAGTTAAAAAATGCTAGGACAAAGAGAAACAGAGCAGGCAAAAGAGCTTAGGAGTGCCAGATCTGGGGTGGGAGGTTTCTAAGAAGGCTGGATGGCCCTGTTGAGAGGGTGACATGGGAGCAGAGACATAATGGAGGCGAAGGAGGGGTCATGTGAGACTTGGGAGAGTTTCCAGGCAGAGAGAACAGCACATCCCAAGACCCTGAGGCAGGAGGGTGCCCAGGGGCTACTCAGTCAACTGCAAGCAGGCCAGTGATCGTGGAGAGCACTCAGGGGAACAGCGGAAGGTAGGTCCCATAGGGCCTTGTTGGCCATCTGTGGACTGTGCCTTTGACTCCAGAGTCAGCCAGGGAGGGGTCTGAACAGAGAAGGGACCCAGTGTGACTTAGGTTCCTGTAGGGGCTGAATGTGACCAGCCCTTGGAGGGTGGACAGCAGGGCAGGACAGCCAGAAGGGTGGTGGCGTGGGTCTAGGAGAGAGGATGGAGGCTGGTGGACACGGCAGTGGGCTGCGGGCACACCCTTCAGCATGGTGGACCCAGCAGGACTTGCTGAGGGGCCCGGGGTCAACTGAGGCTTTGGGCCCGAGGAATCTGAGTCCTGTCACCTAGGTCAGAAGGAGTGTGGGAAGAACTGATGGGGAGGACCGGCTGGGGGCCCCACTGGGTCAGCGCACACCTGGCCCCTAGGAGCCCCATCTGGAGTGATGTGATGTGTGCTCTGATGGGGCCCCAGGGGCTCTGAGAATGCGGAGGAGGAGGTCTTGTTTCCGGAAGAGGTTGCAAGGCTGTGGTGAAGGCAGGTGCAACCCAGCCTCCCGCTCAAGCTACACCCTGGCCCTCCACACACGAGGCCCTGCAGAACTCTGGAGATGGTGCCCACAAGGGCAGGAAAGGACAAGTCGGGAGCCGCTGTCCTGAGGGCACCAGCTGTGCGGGAGCCAAGACCTGAGGGTGGAAGAGTCCTCTTAGAATGGGGATTGCCCAGCAAGGTGTACCGCTACTGGTGCTACCCCAAATTCCCATCTCTCCCTGCTCTCCGCCTGGGCTTTGGGCCTTAGCTCCTCCCTGGGCTTGGTAGAGGACAGATGTGAGGCCCTCATGGGATGTTGGCTGTCTGAGAGTGGAGTGGAAAGAGGAAGGGGTGAAGGAGCTGTCTGCCATTTGACTATGCAAATGGCCTTGGACTCATGGGACCCTGTCCTCCACACCATGGGCAGGGTGGAGTGGAGGGGGAGCTACTAGGCTGGTATAAAAGTCTTACTTCCTCTATTCTCTGAGCCGCTTCTGCCCCCGTGGGAAGGGACCTTGAGTGTGAAGCATCCTTCCCTGCAGCTGCTGTCCAGTCTGCCCGCCAGACCCTCTGGAGAAGCCCCTGCTCCCCAGCATGGTAGGACAACAGCTCTCAGTCCCCTGGGGAAGGGAATATCCTGGGAAGGGGTGAGGAAAGAGGTGGGCTTGGCAGCTGCAAGCAACAGTGACGGGTTGTCACCCACATGGCCCTGGGGACGCTCACTGAATCCTGAAGACATCAGAGCTGAAGCCCTCTTCTTCTTTTTTTTTTTTTTTTGAGACGGAGTTTCACTCTTGTTGCCCAGGTTGGAGTGTAGTGGCTTGATCTCGGCTCACTGCAGTCTCCACCTCCCGGGTTCAAGGGATTCTCCTGCCTCAGCCTCCCAAGTAGCTGGGATTACAGGCTTGCACCACCATACCCAACTAATTTTGTATTTTTAGTAGAGCCAGGGTTTCTCCATGTTGGTCAGGCTGGTCTTGAACTCTTGACCTCAGGTGATCCGCCCGCTTCAGCCTGCTGGGATTACAGGTGTGAGCCACCGCGCCTGGCCACTGAAGCCCTCTTCTGAGCAATGAGACCCAAACCCACAGAGGGGATGAGGAGGCTGAGGCAGTGACACAGCTGGGTCTGGAGCCTGGGTTTGGGTCTCACTGGGCCTGCAGCTTGGGGCTGGCTCTGTCTGGCACTTTGCTGGCCACCCCTCCTTCCATCTGTTCTGACCTGTAGGGCAAGGGCTCTCAGGCTAGGTGAGACGGGCAGAGAGTGATGGAGCTGTGCAGTGCCCGCTGGCCAGGGTCCCTGGGAGGCAGCCGGCCCAGGCCATAGTGGGAGACTCTCATGCCTGCCTGGATCTTGGCTGAAGGGAAAGGAAGGGGTTGTGGGGAGGCTGGTGGGGGGCAGAGAGCGGATTTCAGGGCAGCTGGAGGGGAGGGAGCCAGCTGCCACCTTGCTCAGGAGCAGGAAGGGAAAGTCGGGGAGAGACAGCGGGTGCCATGGGCCACCTTGCCTGGCCTTGTATAACCAGGGATTGGTTATGCTGAAAGCTCCAGATCATAAGTCTGGATTCTAGGTCTCAGTCCCGGTTCTGAGGCCTAATTCTGAGTCCAAGATGGTCTGAGACCGAGTTCAGGTTCCCCACAAGCCATGGAGGATGGGAATGGGGCTTGGCAGCCAGGGAAGAACTTCTGCAGGTAGGGCTTGGGGAGAGGGGTTGGACGATGCCCATGAAGTGGAGTGGGTGGAGGTGGAGCTGGGGGCCGACCACTCACACAGCCCTCCTACCCCCACAGGGTTTCTGCTGCAGCGCCCTGCACCCTCTGTCTCTCCTGGTGCAGGCCATGGTACTGGCCACGACCCTGGCCCTGGGTACCTTGCCTGCCTTCCTACCCTGTGAGCTCCAGCCCCACGGCCTGGTGAACTGCAACTGGCTGTTCCTGAAGTCTGTGCCCCACTTCTCCGCGGCAGCACCCCGTGGCAACGTCACCAGCCTTTCCTTGTCCTCCAACCGCATCCACCACCTCCATGATTCTGACTTTGCCCACCTGCCCAGCCTGCGGCGTCTCAACCTCAAGTGGAACTGCCCGCCGGTTGGCCTCAGCCCCATGCACTTCCCCTGCCACATGACCATCGAGCCCAGCACCTTCTTGGCTGTGCCCACCCTGGAAGAGCTAAACCTGAGCTACAACAGCATCACGACTGTGCCTGCGCTGCCCAAATCCCTCATATCCCTGTCCCTCAGCCACACCAACATCCTGGTGCTAGACTCTGACAGCCTCGCCAGCCTGCACAGCCTGCGCTTCCTATTCATGGATGGCAACTGTTATTACAAGAACCCCTGCAGGCAGGAACTGGAGGTGGCCCCAGGTGCCCTCCTTGGCCTGGGCAACCTCACCCACCTGTCACTCAAGTACAACAACCTCACTGTGGTGCCCCGCAACCTGCCTTCCAGCCTGGAGTATCTGCTGTTGTCCTACAACCGCATCATCAAACTGGCGCCTGAGGACCTGGCCAATCTGACCGCCCTGCGTGTGCTCGATGTGGGCGGAAATTGCCGCCGCTGCGACCACGCTCCCAACCCCTGCATGGAGTGCCCTCGTCACTTCCCCCAGCTACATCCCAATACCTTCAGCCACCTGAGCCGTCTTGAAGGCCTGGTGTTGAAGGACAGTTCTCTCTCCTGGCTGAATGCCAGTTGGTTCCGTGGGCTTGGAAACCTCCGAGTGCTGGACCTGAGTGAGAACTTCCTCTACAAATGCATCACCAAAACCAAGGCCTTCCAGGGCCTAACACAGCTGCGCCAGCTCAACCTGTCCTTCAATTACCACAAGAGGGTGTCCTTTGCCCACCTGTCTCTGGCCCCCTCCTTCGGAAGCCTGGTCGCACTGAAGGAGCTGGACATGCACGGCATCTTCTTCCGCTCACTCGATGAGACCACGCTCCGGCCACTGGCCCGCTTGCCTGTGCTCCAGACTCTGCGTCTGCAGATGAACTTCATCAGCCAGGCCCAGCTTGGCATCTTCAGGGCCTTCCCTGGCCTGCGCTATGTGGACCTGTCAGACAACCGCATCAGCGGAGCTTCAGAGCTGACAGCCACCATGCAGGAGGTGGACGGAGGGGAGAAGGTCTGGCTGCAGCCTGGGGACCTTGCTCCAGCCCCAGTGGACACTCCCAGCTCCGAAGACTTCAGGCCCAACTGCAGCACCCTCAACTTCACCTTGGATCTATCACGGAACAACCTGGTGACCGTGCGGCCGGAGATGTTTGCCCAGCTCTCACACCTGCAGTGCCTGCGCCTGAGCCACAACTGCATCTCGCAGGCAGTCAATGGCTCCCAGTTCCTGCCCCTGACCAGTCTGCAGGTGCTGGACCTGTCCCACAATAAGCTGGACCTGTACCACGAGCACTCGTTCACGGAGCTACCGCGACTGGAGGCCCTGGACCTCAGCTACAACAGCCAGCCCTTTGGCATGCAGGGCGTGGGCCACAACTTCAGCTTCGTGGCCCACCTGCGCACCCTGCGCCACCTCAGCCTGGCCCACAACAACATCCACAGCCAAGTGTCCCAGCAGCTCTGCAGCACGTCGTTGCGGGCCCTGGACTTCAGCGGCAATGCGCTGGGCCGTATGTGGGCCGAGGGAGACCTCTATCTGCACTTCTTCCAAGGCCTAAGTGGATTGATCTGGCTGGACTTGTCCCAGAATCGTCTGCACACCCTCCTGCCCCACACCCTGGACAAACTCCCCAAGAGCCTGCAAGTGCTGCGTCTCCGTGACAATTACTTGGCCTTCTTTAAGTGGGGGAACCTCATCCACCTACCCAAACTGGAAGTCCTTGACCTGGCGGGAAACCAACTGAAGGCCCTGACCAATGGCAGCCTGCCCGCTGGCACCCGGCTCCGGAGGCTGGACGTCAGCTGCAACAGCATCAGCTTCGTGGACCCCGGCTTCTTTTCCAAGGCCAAGGAGCTTCGAGAGCTCAACCTCAGTGCCAATGCCCTCAAGACAGTGGACCCCTCCTGGTTTGGGCCCCTGGCGAGTGCCCTGCAAATACTAGATGTCAGCGCCAACCCTCTGCACTGTGCCTGTGGGGCGGCCTTTATAGACTTCCTGCTGGAGGTGCAGGCTGCCGTGCCTGGTCTGCCCAGTCGGGTGAAGTGTGGCAGTCCAGGCCAGCTCCAGGGCCTCAGCATCTTTGCGCAGGACCTGCGCCTCTGCCTGGACGAGGCCCTCTCCTGGGACTGTTTCACCCTCTCGCTGCTGGCTGTGGCTCTGGGCCTGGGCGTGCCCATGCTGCATCACCTCTGTGGCTGGGACCTCTGGTACTGCTTCCACCTGTGCCTGGCCTGGCTTCCCTGGCGGGGGCGGCAAAGTGGGCAAGGTGAGGATGCCCTGCCCTATGATGCCTTCGTGGTCTTTGACAAGACACAGAGCGCAGTGGCAGACTGGGTGTACAATGAGCTTCGGGGGCAGCTGGAGGAGCGCCGTGGGCGCTGGGCACTCCGCCTGTGCCTGGAGGAGCGCGACTGGCTGCCTGGCAAGACCCTCTTTGAGAACTTGTGGGCCTCGGTCTATGGCAGCCGCAAGACGCTGTTTGTGCTGGCCCACACGGACCGGGTCAGTGGCTTCTTGCGTGCCAGCTTCCTGTTGGCCCAGCAGCGCCTGCTGGAGGACCGCAAGGATGTCGTGGTGCTGGTGATCCTGAGCCCTGATGGCCGCCGCTCCCGCTATGTGCGGCTGCGCCAGCGCCTCTGCCGCCAGAGTGTCCTCCTCTGGCCCCACCAGCCCAGCGGTCAGCGCAGCTTCTGGGCCCAGCTGGGCATGGCCCTGACCAGAGACAACCACCACTTCTATAACCGGAACTTCTGCCAGGGACCCACGACTGAATAGCCCTGAGCTGGAATCCTGCACGGCGCCACCTCCACGCTCACCTCACCTCTGCCTGCCTGGCTCTGACCCTCCCCTGCTTGCCTCCCTCACCCCACACCAGGCACAGAGCAGGCACTCAATAAATGCTGCCGAAGGCTAGATGGCTAATCCTGAGCTCACTGGAGGCATGGACAGGAGGAGGGAAGGGAGAATTCTCCAGGCCTCCACGAAGCAGCTTAGGGAAAATTGCCATAAAGACAGGACAGAGGTCTTCAGGGGAGGAAGCTGCTAAGCTCAGTTCTCTGGGGAGTCTGATGATGGTCTTTGGATGTGGTTTTGGCCCTTCCCAGAGAGCAGGGGCTCCTTTTAGTCCCGCCCAGAATGCCCGGCCCTACCTTTCCCATGCAGAGCCGGGCAGCCCCTGACAGACTTGGCAGCACCCCTTTGTTGACAGGTCTCAGGTATTTGTCTCCCTCACCTACTGGACTGGAATGCCTTGAGGGCAGAGAAACTGCAGGCTTGGTTCCTTTCTGGCACTCAACAAAGTCTTGAGCGGCAGCAGCTCTGGGGACTGTTCGTTCCAAAATGGAAGGGGAGAATGAATTGCAGCAAGGGTGGAGGGGTGATTGTGCCCTTTGGTGGCCATGCCTGTGCCAGGCGGAGAAGGCTGGTTCAGGTTGGGGAAAGGAAGGCCTGTGGGTGCATCCTTGCAGCAGGGAGCTGGGAGCCACAGACAGGAGAATCCACTCCTTTCTTTTTCCACCTACAGGTACTTGCTGGGTCTCTCCATTCTGATATTAAAGGGATAACTAGGCAAGTCACCT